ATTACCTTATTTACCAAATATGTCCTGAGCAAAAGTGGAAGAAGTTGCAACCATAAAAATCAAATCTAAATTTCACCCCTAATATTCCAACAGAATTGGCAATCCTCAATTTTAGTCGAAGTTGTAAATGAAATAATTAAAAGTTATAAATTTTGTTAAAGCTAAATTTAGATTTTCAACTAAATTCAATCGCATTCGAATGTAATTTCGATATATGTACATGAATATTGTTCTTATACAGAATCACAAGGATACAAGATAATACCCATTCTGAACCGCAGTTCAACTCATAAAAATATGTTTTACAAAATAAAAACTATTTAGAAAAATAGTTGATTAGGGCAGTTTTGCTCTTATCCTGTAAATTAAAACTTAGATGGCAATATTATGTGTTAAAATTTTTTTTTGTTATTTATTTCAAATATTTTTTGAATTGGTAATTTTAATAAACACATTTTGATTTAAAATACTGCGAAGTGAAGTATTGTATCTCTCTATTCGATATTCTGCCAATGCCACCAATAATGAATTAAAGTAGATACTGTGATTTTTCTATATGGGTGTGATATTATTGGTACATAATATTTAAAATCTCATTGTGCTTATGTCATACGTACAAATATAGTAAATCCATACTTCACGGTACGTTTCAATTATTCAAACAAGTTTTTTTTTTGCCTTTTTTTTTTATTATTAATTTTCACGTAAGTTATTTTTTTAACTAAATTTGTAATAACAAAAAAATAATGTATTTGAAGGAACAAAAAAATAACAAAACTAAAGTAACAGGAGCAAAAAAAAAACAACGCGCGGAAAAAAAAGTTAAAATTTTCTTTTCTAATGCACTTAAGGGGGTTGTAAAAACGATAAAATTGGTGAGTACTCCGAAAAATAAAAAATTTTAAAATGTTTACAATAAAATCGTAATTTTAATTGCCTTTTCCCAATTATTTTAATCTACGAAAATTTAATACTACAGTACAAATCTTATTTATTTGGGGGAGAAGAAGTTGAGAAATTTTACACAATAATCTCTTCTCAACAACTGAGAGTTCTGGATATTTTTCTATAAGAAAATCTTTATGCTTTCTTCATTAAAAAGTGCACCGTTCATCATCTAAAACCAAAACAAACTCTGATACCATCAAACTTCATACGTTAAAAATCGAACAGAATATGTACACTTTTTTATTCTGCAAATTCAGGATGGAAAAGTTGTAGATTGTAGATTGCTTAATAGGATGATGGTACACCGCGACCTTAATGATCTATTGTGCTCCCACCAGGAGCGCTCAGTGTTCTGCCTAGAGCACCACACGAGACCCACACTTCGGATGAATCTGAGCAACTTTTCCGTGAGGACGTCCCACAACGACATGCCCACCAACCAAGGCCCGTGCATGCTGGTCAACAGGTTTCCTGTAGATCTTGTATAGTTCCTAGGGTTGTTTAGTTGGTTACTAGCGACCACAAATTTTGATCATACCTAAGACAAAATACATAAAATTCATAGTATTTTAAGATTCACTTTATACGTAGAGAGAAGAAATTACAATAAACTTTTCGGGGACATGGCAACAAAAAACTAAATCTTAATCGTAAGATATTGTGTTGTATTCTTTTGTGAAAACGTGTTCCATTTCTAAAAAAATTTACATGCTTCATGTATGAGTAAATCGAAAATCGTAATAAAATACGCAGCAATTAGGCCGATCTAAAACAATAATATAATTAGTTCATTTTTCGTATAAAGAAATGTTTCAGAATCTTAGAAAACAAAACCAATTACAATTATTGTTAAAAGAAAAAAACGTTTTTACTTTCTTAAAGCATTTTCAATATTATTTTTTAATCTTATATTTGGTAGGTTTTTTGTTTCCATTTTAGAACTGAGAAATTTTTTACATTATTTCAAATTTTGTTCAATTAAATTACAAAAAAGAGCAATAGTATAGGCTTATTTTTTTTTAAATGGAAATTGTGTTACTTAAAATTCTAAGCAGATGTCTTTGTAAATTAAAAGTATCAGGGCAAAAAAAACACTATACGAAAAACAATGTTCAATACAAAGTTTCCTTGACATTCTTCACTTAAGTTCTATAAATTCTAAAATGAAAAATTCATACTCAAAATATAGCAAAACCCATTTCAATAATTGGGAAAACACACGCGTATAGTTACGCATTGCTTCTATTAAAATATTTTCCTTTTTCCTTTTAATTTCTATACCTGTTTATAAAGATAATTTCTCTAAGGATAATATGTACTCGTATTTATTACAAAACATCTTAAGTGTAGAAAAACAAATTAAAATACAAAAAATAGCCTTACAATTAGAAAAAAAGACTTCAATATGTTTGATAAAAAAAAAAACAAAACACCAAGAGAGAAGCATTCATAAAAATTAAGGATTTTAAACAATTTTGTAAGGATTCAATTGCAATAAAATTTCGTAACGCTTAACGAAAACAAAAAAAAATATTTAAGGATAATTAGCTTTTTCCTGTACAAAATTGTTCATATTTTATTTTAATTAATTTTGTAATTGATAGTGAAATGTATATAAAGAAAAAATTTCTATTTCAAAATATTTTGTAATAAATTTTAAGGATAAAGAGGAAAAAACAGGACTTTTTTTTTTAATAAAAAGCAGCGCTATTGTTGTAAATTATGTAGCTAATAAATTGGAAAAGTGGAAAAAAAGCATAGATAATTTTTACACATTTTTTACACACACATAGAATATCAAATCAAATGAAATTAAACTTCGGATTGAAAATTTTGCATTACGGAGCTCAAAATTTATTATACATAGAAATATAAAAGAAATAATAAAACTACGATATAGACTTTAAGTCGAAGCAGTGATGGAAATTCAAGAAATTTGAGAATATCAAGTTAAATATTCTGAGCGTGCAATCATGTATATCCACAAATGTGTATTGTAGTCATAAAAACGCTAGTATCAGGCAATTTCTATTTTTTTGCAGTTTTAGTTCATTGTTGTTGTTGCAAATAAAGTTTTCATTGTTAAAAGTGTCGTTCTTGTGTTTTTCAATTGGCTTGACTATAATTCAATATGAGAAATATTCCCAGCAAATGGAATATTGCATTTATTATCAAATTCTAAGCAGGGATTTGTTTTTGAAGATTGATGGAATTTCCTTGAGCACCATTTACGAAATCAACTTAAAAATGGTTCTTAAATCAACATGGCATTGTGTTCGTCGTTACATCATATATGTAATATTTTTTTATGATTTAGATTTATCTGTCATAAACAAAAAAAAAAAAATTTGATTTCTTAGGTCTACATGTCTTAACACTAAATGGCGTATTAATGACAAATAACAAAATGCACGGAGTTTATATGTGCGATAAATAATAAGCAGTAAATTTGCGATGAATACATAAGTAGAAAGTATCATACTCTAGTTGAGCGTAACACCGTAACAGTTCATTTTAAAAAACATCACATTTCACACACAATAGTTGTCACATTTTGAATCTCAGAACCAGAGTATATTGAAATCAATTGAACTGTTAACATCGATTTCATACAAAAGTTTTTCCTGCACATAAGCTTCTGTACAACGGTATATACATACAGCAAACCAATTACATTTATCTCATTATTTAAAAATTCAATTATGTACCAAAAATGTACCTGTTTTACCTTTAAATTATTCAATATTTTAAAATTCCAGGAAAAACAACCTCAATATTCCCTTTAATTCTTTTGATTAATGTCACATAATAAATTTTATAGCTTAACTTTTTTCATCAGTCATTATTTTTATAAGTCAATCAAATTGACAACTTTATTTAAATGTCATCAATAATGGTATAATGGTAGATTAAAGTTAATTGTTGCACATTTTGTTAAATATTTAACAATATTATTTTAAAATTTAATTTTAAGAAACTTACTGCCTAGTTATTACAAAAAAAAGGCTTCATTGAATTTGAGTATTAATTTTTTTTTGCGTCTGTCTAAATGATTTTTTTGCTTTTTGTAACTAAAAATTTGAACAAAAAATTTAAATTTTGTAACAAAAAAAAGGTTTTTTTTAAATGTAAAAAAAAAACACCTATTATTACTGACATCACCCCATACGGTACTTATACTTATGTACCGGTAGATTTTCAAAGCAAAAACCGGCAAAAAAAAAATTAATCAAAATGTACAAAAAAATTTTGAAAGGGTGTTACTAAACCTATTTATAAAAATTTGACTACCATTTTTTTTTTTTGCAAGAGTTTCAACTCTGGGGTGTCATTTTTTTTTTTTAGTAATTTAAAAAAATTTTTTTCTTTCAACTTAATTTTTTATAAAGATCTTCTAGTTGGTTCATAAAACTGTCAGATTAAAAAGTTATTATTCTGACATAACGTGTATAGCTTTGATTTTATTACAGTTGTTTTTTTTCATCACATTCATTTTTATTTGACATTTTAAGCAGATGCTGATGATCTTTGAAATTTATATGATTTTTTTTTATTATTTTTAGTTAGAAGAATTGAAACTTTTAAAATTCACGGTTGTTCAATTCAATATTATCTTTATAATTTCTCTATATGGTATAGTTTATAAAATGAGTTATAATAAAGCATTAAAGCTGTGTAAAACTTGAGTACAGTAATCCCCCGCTTTAAGTCGTTTTCAGATCCAACATTTGCGATTTTAAGTGGAATGACTTGAAGCGAGGTTCATTTCTAATTTTCTTATAAGAAATTATGTACAAGGCATCATGTACAAAGAGAAAATTTTATTGGAAGAAATTCCAGACTTCTACCAATTTTGTTTCAATTTACCTTATAGATTAATAACGCATTAATGAAAGTATCTTGAGTTCAAATAACCATTAAATTGAATTCAATTAAACCATTCAATTAAGTCGTAATTTGTGAAATTTTTAAAATCTAAATTATTTATTAACAAATTTTAACTTTTTCATGAAAATAAACATAACAAACAAATACGCCATGGTTTACTGCAGAAGTAAAAGAGCTAGCAAGAGAAAAACGCGAAAGTTACTTAAAATACCTAAGTAAGAGATCGCCCGAAGCATACAGAGAATACAAATCTGTGAGAAACCGCGTAAATTCCAACATACGCAGAATAAAAAAAGAACACTGGGAAGCGTTTACTGCAGACATTGAAAGAGATTTGTATGGTGCTCAAAAAAAAGTGTGGGGATTGCTTCGACGAAGGAAAAAGGAGGTAAATGAATATGTGCAAACAAATACTATATCTATTCAAGACTGGGAAAATCACTTTAGAAAGTTGTATGAAAATAGGGAAGACCGTGAAGCAGAAACACTTTTGCCAGAAGTAATAAGTACTTTTATTAGCATAGAACTTGTGGAGAACGCTGTAAAAAGTTTGAAAAATCGAAAGGCAGCCGGATATGATGAAATACCAAATGAGCTAATAAAATACGGGAGCGAAGGTCTTCATCATCAATTGGCATTATTGTTCCAAAAAACCATTACCAGCGGAACAATTCCAACTGACTGGAGGAAGAGCCTCACAATACCTATTTTCAAAAAGGGGGATAAAAGGATCCCGGAAAATTATAGAGGGATAACTCTTCTAAGTGCGGTAATGAAGCTCTTCACAAAAATTCTCCAGAATCTCCTATCAGAAAAAATTATTATGTGTGAAGAACAGCAAGGATTTCAAAAAAAACAGATCTACGATAGACGCAATTTTTGTGGTGCGACAAGTAGTAGAAAAATCAATAGAATTCGAGAAACCGGCATTTATGTGCTTCGTGGATTTAACTAAAGCTTTCGACCGCGTCCAACTCAATGATATAATCGAGATATTGACAGCGAAAAACATCCCACCCGAAATAATTAAAATTATCGAAACCTTGAACAGAAACACCTCCACATATATATTAACGAACAACATCAAATCAAACGAAATTCAAATATCATCAGGAATAAGGCAAGGCGATTCTTTGAGTCCATTTCTCTTCAACTTAATAATGGAAAAAATAATATCTGAAGTGAAAAACGCAGGACGTGGCTATAGAACTTCAAAAGGAGAAATAAAAATTATATGCTACGCAGATGATGCCGTGCTAATATCCGAAAATGAAGACGAGCTGCAAAAATTGCTACACCAGTTTTATATTACATCTTCAAAATTAAACATGGAAATTTCGGTAGCAAAAACAAAGTCTCTGGTAATTGCAAAAGAACCTTTAAGATGTAAATTGGCGGTTAACGACAAAATAATAGAGCAAGTAATGTCGTTTAAGTATTTAGGGGTAGAGGTTTCTGCTTGCCAAAACCGAAAAAAAGAAAATATGCAACAAATAAACAAAGCAGCAAGAGTCAGTGGTTGTCTAAGCGACATTATATGGAAAAACAAGCACATGGGACAAGCAGCGAAGATTAAAATATATAAATCATGCGTACGCCCAATTATGACTTATGCAGCGGAAACTAAGGCGGAGACAAGCAAAACAAAAGCCAACTCGCGTGCAGCAGAAATGAAAACGCTTAGAAAAATAGCAGGACGCACATTGCAAGATAGAGTTCCGAGCGCAGAAATAAGAAACATGTTAGATGTTCAAGATGTGGTAAGATGGGTAAGAGCTAGGAGGCGTGCCTGGAATGAACACGTCTCTAGAATGCAGAGTGACCGCATTGCAAAAATAGCAAGGGATGGCAAGCCAAGCAACACCAGGCCGCCAGGCAGACCACCTAAAAGATGGATCGAGTGCTGGACATCAACTTCTCAAGAGGCGAACTAATTGGAAAAGAACAGGCTGAGAGGCCTATAAAGAAGAGGAAGAAGAAGAAGAAGAACTTTTTCATATAGCTTAAATTATTTATAAGCTTTAATATGTCGCAATCATGATCTTACAGAAAGTTTCAATTGTTTGATATCCCACTTTTTTTCGTTTTAAACACGTATTAGGGTTTTAAAGGAAAAATCATTCAGTGTTCAGATTTTAACATAAAGTTTCAAAGTTGTTATTTATACTTGTCAGACAGAATATTTTCACTCTAATTTTCTGTAACCCTCAAAAACTAGACGTTCGAAATCAATAACAATTTTATTTCTAAAAAAACTACAAGAAATCACTCTCCGAATATTTTAACAATTTGTATAGAAGAACCTCAAACTAATTTACATAATATTTATTGTTCAAGTATGGCTATTCCATATAATTGTCGACAATCAAAATGCAAAAACGCAAATTGTTGTTTTCTAACTGATCCATAACAACTTTTTAAAAAAAACTACTGCCTCTACGAAAAAATTTGGAGGTGGAAGGTGCAAAATATCTTGAAAAAAATTTTAATTAATGTAAATTTGAAATCATTTAATAATTAATTAATAATCACTTTTGAATAATCATTTTAAAATTATACGATTTTTAATTGATTAAGAAATTGAGTCTCTGAGCGGCAAACAAAAGAGTTGCAAGAAATTTATTTCAAATTGAATTATAGTTATCGTATAAAACTTTCTTACTCTGCGATTCCTCATTATTATGCAATCAATTTAAGTTATAATTGTGTTAAAATTGAATCAAAAATGCAGTTTTTTTTACATAACATTGAAAGTGTATTTAGTCTAAATATTAATATAAAAATTTAATAATCTTTACTCTGCTTTCTGAAGAAACTATTAAGATAGTTTCTAAGAATAGTAAGAAAGAATAAACAAATTTAATAACATATTAAATTTTCAGTTTGATTGATGTATATACATATGTACTACATAAAGATTTGTAAAATGCATACAATTTAATACACAGAAAAAAAAATAAACTAAGAAACAAAACAGAAATTAATTTTTGATTTTTTTTTTCAAACATTGAATTTTACACAAATTAAATTCAAAAATATTAGTCCAGATTGTTAAAATCTTTACGATAGCGCTTTCATGTACATGATATCACCATTTTACACGAATTATACAAGACTGATACCACCGACTTCATATTCTTTGTTTTTTTTATTATGAAATTTTCACATATAGTGGAGCAAAAACCTGTGTAATTTAAATTTCAAATTAAAGTTTTTTTAAAATGTTTAACTTATCTTGTCAACATTCAAAAAATTAATATGTATAAATTGTATATTATGACATGGTATATTTTATTATGACATATACCTACATAAATATAAATGATTGATTATATAAGAAAATGTGATTCAGATTGTGTACTAGACAAAATAATGATTATTGTGTAAGAATATAAGACGTAAAATTAAATTTAAAAAAAATTTATATTACGGTGTACTAGCGTAACTTAGAAATGCATATGAGTAATTCGGTTTATATATACTTTAATTTAATATTATAAATAAAAAAAATTGTACCTATAGCATTTTTTTTATTACAAAATTTAATTAAAAATATTGCGATTGAAATCATATAAAATTTCTTACATTTTATATATGTAATAATTATTAAAAAAAAATTGCTTTTCATAAAAATTTATTTTTTTTTTAATTTTTATATTTTTTTACAGAAATATTTCTGTGTTCAAAAAAAAAAAAATTATTCTTAAAGTTTATTTTAATTAAAATAACAAAACCACCTCTGCTTCTTCTGTATTATAGCCCTCTTCAAAAGTTTTTCTTTCATAAAAAAAAAAAATATTTCCATTTATAAATATTATTAAACATTATGTAATATACATATGTATGTATAGGTCGTATACCATCTACATACATACTTGAAATTATATTTTTATTTCCATTAAAACTCATCTCCATTCACGCTTGTCTTCACTTAAACATACATACATATCTCATCTGTTCATTAAAAACCTATTTGCATTTAATTCATTCCAATGTATTTTTTTTTTATTTTTCCTTAAAAAATCAAGAAATGTTTCTGATGACAATCTTATTAGACTATGTGTACAACATTGACTTATTATGGATTCTGTATGTATATGAGTACAGGATGTTTTATTAAAAATTTTAATAAATAGTTTTGACTTTAGAAATTTATTCTAAAACTACTTAATCTATATAAATTTTATAGCACATATTGATTGTAAAAACCGTAGAAATAATATTGGAAATTGGAGTGGAAAATACTTGTGAATGAGGAAAACTAAGTCTACACATTACAAAAATACAACTGAGGAAAATTAAGGCTATTCTATCTATTGTAGATAGCCTACATTTCTTAAAATAAGAAGTATTTCCTGATTTTAATTGTTAATAATTGCCTTTTACTTCCACCATTTTAAATAATGCAGCAATAGTTAAAAACAAAATTTGAAAAAAAAAAATAAAAAAAATCCTGTACATTTTTGTATGTATGAATAAAATTTTTTTAATAAGAATAATAATATTTTTTTATTCAATCTAAATTGAACGAAATTATCATCTTTCTATTAAAAATACATAAAAAGTCCTTCCACAGGAATAAATTTTCATATATTTTTAAGCAATGAAAATTTTCCTCCACTTTATCTTGAAAATGGAAGAAAAAAAAAATTTTTTTTTTATTATTTTTTATTTGCTTTTAAATTTATTATAAGTACAAATACATACACACATTCTAATATTTTTTCGCAATTAAATTTAACGCAATGCGTCGTCTTTAAGGGAAAATAAATAAGAAAATTTAAAAATGCCCCGTTGTGGTCCATAATTTTTATAAGAATTAAAAAAAAAAATGTAGATATATTTACACTTACATATATTATATAAATTAACGGTACTGAAATATACATACATAAAATGTACATTTTTAAGAAGGACACACACAATATACTCGTATTTGCCTTTATAATAAAATTAAGCTTTTTCATCATATACAAATTTTCTCTTGGGAGAAAATATCAAAGAACTTATATAGAATTTATTTAAATTTTAAATTTATATTAATTGTTCGATAAATTGAGGTGACCATATGTATAATTTATTTACCTCAAAATTTGTAACAATTCTTTGAATCATAAATAATTTATGTCGTTTTATTTTCGAAAAGGATAATAGAAAACATGGTTTCATGTAACATTGTGAAAGGTTTCGTAAACTAAATATTTTGATATTACATATTATTCTCATGATAGCATTGTTTTTTTTTTGGTAAATTTTATAATTCCATATGCTCCAATAGTTTAAAAGCTTGTACCGTTTCGCTGGTGCGATAAAAAGCCTTAAACAATTATGTACGTTAAATTAATCATCTACATTCTATAAGAAATCTTATTTGTTACATAACAACACACATACACGCAAAACAAATAGTTTAAATTGTGTGCTTGACAGAAATTCAACTTTTCTCCTCAATTTAGTGGAGATTTTAAATAAGAAATAAAATAAAGAAATTTTCCTATTTGTCTATGTCAATGTATTAAAATAGATGTAAATTGGAATCCATTTTGGTGGCAATTCTGTATTGTTTTTATTTTTCGGTCTCAATATTTTTAATTTTTGTTTCATTTTTCATTAAATCATAAATTTTTACGATAAAAACTACTGATAAATTGAATCTTGAATCTGAGTTTGTTTCCTTTCAATTTTTAATAGCATTACTGCCATAGGATTACTCTAATTTAATATACGTATGTGCATTGAAGTAACAAAAGTATAAAATTTTTGGAAACGTGTTTGTTTTTCTTACTTCTTTCGACAATTAATTAAGTATTTGTTGAAAACAAACTTAGGTTTTATAATAACTTTAAAATTGCACAAGTTATTCTAATTCAAAGCTTCGATTTTGTAAATAGAGGACTTCGTTAAAATAATATTGCATTTTCTTACGGATGCTGCTGTGTACACCAGTTTACGTACACTGTACACATTTTCATTGTTTCATAAATTGAATATTAAAATATATTTGTCCCACATCTAAATTTCATAAGTAAGAACTGGTCAATCTATATTAAAACTTATACATAATATTAATTTGCATACAGAGGTGGAGGCATTCTTATTAAACATTTTCTTTAATTTAAAAAAAAATAAATTAATTTAATAAAAAAAAATAAAAAGAAAAATTTCTTATTCTTTTAATTCCAGAATGGGAGGATGATGGTCTATAAAGAACAAAAAGTGTGTGTTGTTAAAAAGAGAATAGAAAAATCTAAAAACAAATACATAATATTATCACATCGCATATCGCACAATATAATTACAAGATACGCATAATTTATAAGGTATAATAGATAAAGATGTACAACATTTATTCTTACACATACAGGGTGATTCAGAAAGCTATACAATAACATATACCATTGGTTAGAAGATCGAAAATGGGTAAAACTTTTGTTACGGACTGGGTACCAGATCTCAAGGGTTTCGAGTTCCAGGAGTTTTAACGAATTTTCACGAAATTTTTACTTATCCAAATTTTTTGGATTATAACTTCCATTCTGAAAAAGATAGGAATTTCAAGATAGGAATTCTGGAAAAGATAGGAAAAAGTTTCTGAAACACCTAGTAAAGGGCTTAAAATAAACATGTTGCATGAGTCTGTATTTTATGTACCTTTGGGATATCAAGCTTTTGAACTTTAGAAAAAATCAAATTTTACCCTTGTTTTATTTTTTCAGTCTTTACTAAATAGATAATTTCGTAAGTAATTTTTTAAAGCCTTGAAAGAGCTTTAATTTAAGCTCTTGATTTAAGTGTACAGAAGATAGCACTAGAACCATTTCTAAGTGAAGATTTTAAAGGCCTTATTTTTCACAATTTTTGATTTTTATTGATTTTAAACGCTGTAATTATCAACTATCATTCATTTTGGGAGACCAGAGTGTTGTTTTGGATA